GCGCCGCATGTGCTGCTGCAAGGCTGCGGGCAGCCCAGCCTGCCCGATGCGGCGTGGCTTTTCTGAGGGGCACAGTGTATCAGCCGGCAGCCCGGCTGGGGTGGCACTGAGGCCCCGGCCTCCCATCCCAGCACCCCCTGCCGCCTGCCCGCCTGCCCGCCTGTCGGCCGGCTGGCCCTGGCGCCTGCGCACCACTAACCGCGCCTCACCCACCCTCCTCCCACAACCACCGCTGCCCGCCAGGTCCCCAACGTGATGGAGTTTGCTGACTGGGTGGGCCGCACCAAGCAGAAGCACATCTATGTGACGGGTGGGTGCGCTGTGGTGGTGTGGTGGTGGAGGTCACTCATTTTGGTGGAGGTCAGCCTGCCGACGAGTAGCTGCAGCGGAGGCCAGGTCAGGCCGGCCCTCGCTGCTTGGCTCCATGCCTGCGGCAACGCTCTGCCCGTGCTCTGCCCACCCCGCGCCTCACCGCCCCCGCCGCGGCGCGCCGCGCGCAGGCACCACCAAGCGCCCCGTACCGCTGCAGCACAGCCTGTACTTCTCCGGCCAGCTGTTCCCCATCTGCCAGGCAGACAGCTATAGCGCCCAGGGCTTCCGCGCCGCGCGCGAGGCTGCCAAGGCCAGGGCGGGCCCGGCGCCGCAGACGCGGGCCGAGGCGCAACGCGCGCTGCCCACCGGCCGCGGCGACGGCGGCGGCGGCGGCGGCCGCGGCGGCCGCGGCGGCCGCGGCGGCGCCCAGCAGCAGCAGCAGCAGCGGCACGGCCAGCGCGGCAGCGCCAACGCGGGCGCCGCGGCCATGGCGGCGGCGAACCGCCAGGCGGCGGCGCAGCAGGGCGGCGGCGGCGGGCAGATGCGGTCGGAGCGCAGCCAATGGATGAGCTTGATTGAGATGTTGCGCAAGAGGTGGGTGGGCTGGGGGCTGCTGCTGGGGGCTGGGGGCTGGGGCCTGCGGGCGCCCCACCGCCCGCCTTGCCTGCCGGCCTCTCCCAGCCAGGTCCCGAGTCGCCGGTACTGCCAGGCACGGTTGATCCATTGCCCCGCCCCTGGCCCTGCTCCTGACCTTGCCCTTCATCCCCCCAATTCCTGCGCCTCTGCTGTCCTCGCCACACCTCCCTACTCGCCCTTCGCCCCTCCCTGCCCCGGCTCCCAACCCACCCCTACGCCTCTGTCCCCCCCCTCTCCTGCCCCCTGCAGCGACCTGCTGCCGTGCGTCGTGTTTGTGTTCAGCAAGAAGCGCATCGAAGCACTGGCAGACAACCTGCAGGCAAGGAGGTGGCCGTGGGTGTGGGTGGTAGGCGGCGGGGCGCCGGGGCAGCAGGCTGGGTTGTGCGCCCGGCCGCGGCCGGGGAACCACAGCGTGCGCAGCAGCGCAGCTGGCGCCGCTAGGGGCCGGGCAGCCGCACCCGGCAGCCTCCGCCCCACCCTCCACCTCCACCTCTGAACACACACACACACACACACACGGTTCTTTCTGCCTCCACCCCTCCCCCGCCCCCTGCAGTCTCTGGATCTGTCCACCGCGTCCGAGAAGAGCGAGATTCACCTGTTCTGCGAAAAGGCGCTGGCGCGGCTCAAGGGATCCGACCGGGAGCTGCCTCAGGTGGGCGGGCGGCGGTGTGCAGTGGTGGCGGTGCTGCTGTGCGGTGGTGGTGGTATTGTTGTGTCGTGGTGACACTTTCGTTTGATGGTGGTACCGTTGTGTGGTGGTGGCGATACCGCTGTGTGGTGGTGCTCCCTGGTGGTACTGTTGTTTGTTGGTGGGGTATATGGCCGGGGGGGCTGCCGCACAGGGCAGTGCACGGCAGTAGGGAAGCTGGTGCCCCCCTGTGCCTGCATGAGCTTGGACCCACCCCCGCTGCAACCCGCGCAGGTGCTGCGCGTGCGAGAGATGCTGAAGCGCGGGCTGGGGGTGCACCACGCAGGCGAGCCACCGCCGCTGCTACGAGCCGCCGCCCCCATTGCTGCGGCCGCCTCCGCCGCTGCTCCGCCAAGCGCCGTGCCCCGCACCGCCTGCACCCCTGCACCCCACCACCACGCCTCCCACCCCCACCTCACCACCCCCACCACCCCCACCACCACGCCGCGCTTCCCACCCTCCCCCCGCAGGCCTGCTTCCCATCGTGAAGGAAATTGTGGAGATGCTGTTCTGCCGGGGCGTGATACGGGTGCTGTTCAGCACAGAGACGTTTGCCATGGGCGTCAACGCCCCCGCCCGCACAGTCATCTTCCAGTCGCTCAGGTGCGGGACGGGGGTGGTGGTGGTGGCGGTGGTAGGGTGGCGGTGGTGTTAGGTTGGTGGTGGTGGTGGCGGCGGTGTGTGGTGGAGTGGTGGTGTGTGGTGGTGGTGGAGGTGGTGGTGGTGGTGGCGGTGGTAGTGTGGGATCCAAGCAGGTGTGGGAGCCCTGCAGGTCTGAATGCGCCCGCACGCTGCCTGGCCAGCGCCGCGCCCAGCCTGCCTCTCGGCCTGCCGTGCCTCGCCGCCTGCCCGGCCGCCGTCCCGCGCAGGAAGCACGACGGCAAGTCGTTCCGCAACCTGCTGCCGGGAGAGTACACGCAGGTGTGTGTGTGTGTGTGTACATGTGTGTGTGTGTACATGTGTGTGGGTGGGTGGAGGGGCGCTGGTGAGCTAGCGGGCTGGGGGGTTGGGGATATGAGGGGCACCGCTCATTGCTCGCTGGCACTGCAAAGGGCCTGGGTGCCGAAGCAGCAAGGAACGGCATGCGCGGGGCAGCCACACCCCACCACGACGCATCCGGGCGCTCCTGCCCCCCACGCCGCTGCCTTTGGTGCGCAGATGGCGGGGCGGGCTGGCCGGCGCGGGCTGGACACTGTTGGCACGGTGGTCATTGCCTGCTGGGATGAGCTACCCGAGGAGGTGGAGGTGAAGAAGATGCTGACGGGTGGGTGCGGCTGCCTCGCGGCGGCGTGGGAGGCTCGCCGTCCCTTGCAGCAGCCGCGCACGCCGTGCGGCAGCGCCGCCGCTCGCTGCTCGCGCGGCCTGCGCCGAGCCCGGCCCTCTGTTTGGCTGCCGCCACCCCGCCCGCCCTGCCACGCGGCCCGCCTGCCCGCCTCGCCCGCCTGCCCGCAGGCTCTGCCACCCGGCTGGAGAGCCAGTTCAGGCTGACTTACTCCATGATCCTCAACCTGCTGCGGGTGGAGGACCTCAAGGTGGGGCGCAGGGCAGCGGGGTGCGGAGGGGGTGGCGGGGGGGTCGCTGACGGGCACGCACGCACAATGCACACCACACCCCACTGCACCGCACCACACCACACCACACCGCACCACAACACGCCACACTGCACCACATCTCACCACACCACACCACACCCACACCACATCATGCCCCCTCCCCCAACACACAAACAGGTGGAGGACATGCTGAAGCGCTCTTTCGCCGAGTTCCACGCCCAGCGGGCCCAGCCCGAGCTGCTGCAGGCCCTGGAGAAGGGGCAGGCGGCGCTGGCCCGCCTGCGCGCGCGCCCCTGGCCCGCCTCCCCCCTGGGCACCACCAGGCGCGCCGCGGCCTGCTGCTGCTGCTGCTCGCCTTTCTCCCCTGCCTGCCTGCCTGCCTGCCTGCCTGCCTGCCTCCCCGCCTGCCTGCCTGGCGCCCTGCCTGCCTGCCTGCCTGCCTGGCGCCCTGCCCAGCTGCCGCGCCGCCCCTCCACCTGCGCCGTGCTGTGCTGTGCTGCACGGGGGGGTGTGACCGCACCCAATGCTGTACCGCCTGTTGTACCGCAGGGAGGAGATGGAGGCGTACTGCCGGCTGTGCATGGACGTCGAGGCGCTGGATGCCCGCCTGCAGGCAGAGGTGGGGCCCCTGTGTGTGTGTGTGTGTGTGTGTGTGTGTGTGTGTGTGTGTGCATGTGTGTGTGTGCAGGGCAGAAATGACAGCAGCGGCGGCAGGCCGCAGCCGCCCCGCCGCCCTCCTGCTGCCGTCCCTGCCCGAGGCGCCGCGCCCGGAGCCCCCCCCTTGGCTTGCCTGCGCAGGTGATGGGCACGCGTGCGGCGCAGCAGGCGCTGGCCTTGGGCCGCGTGGTGCTGGTGCGGGCGGGCGGCGGCGCCGGCAGCGGCATCACAGAGCTGGGTGTGGTGTGCAGCGAGGGCCCGGTGGATGCAGGCGGCGGCAGCACCGGCAGCAGGGGCCTGGACGATTTCTTCGGCGGCAGCGGCGGCGCAGCAGGGGCAGCAGGAGGGGCAGTGGGACGCGGCACCTCGGAGGACGGCGGCGGCGGCGGCGGGGCGGCGTCGGGAAGAAAGTATGCGGTGCTGTACCTGCACCGCCCATCCCCGCTGGACCCGGCGGCACCACCGCCCGCGGGGCCGGCAGCCGCCGACGGCTCGCGCCAGGCGGCGCCTGCGGCAGCGACGCGGCCGGCGGCGGCGGCGGCGGCGGCGGGAGGCCCGCCTGGATCTGGAGTCCCGCCTGGAGAGCCGATGCTGCGGCTGAAGAAAAAGGTGCTGCTGCTGCTGCTGCTGCTGCTGCTGCTGCCACCTGCCGCCGTGGTCCTGCAAGTAGCATCAGCAGCGGCTGGTGCCGGTCTCTTTGAGTGCCGGCCTGCCCCCGTGGTTGTGCGCCGCACTCTCGACATGCGGCCTGCCTGCGTGCCGGTACCCCCGTCTCTCTGCAGGATGATGATGATGATCTGCTGCTGATGGGGAGGGCGGCGGGAGGCAAGAAGGGCGGCAAGAAGGGCGGCGGCGGCGGTGGCGGCGGCCGGCAGGCGGCGGCGGCGACCCTGGGCGGCGGCCTCGGCGGCGGCTTTGGCGGCGGACCGGGGGGGAGGGGTGCGAGGCCGGCGGTGGCGCTGCCGCATGCCGGGGAGGTGGCGGGCGTGGCATTCCGGCTGGCGCAGGTGGCGGCGGCAGATGTGGTGGGCATCTGCAAAGTCAAGATAAGGTGGGGAGCGTGTTGGTGGGTGTATGTAGCGTGGTTGGATGGAGGGTGGTTGCATGGAGTGTGTTTCTGCGGTGGGCATGGTCGGTGAGCAACAGAGGGGGGGGGCAAGGGGAAGAGTGGTGGCACGAACCCGCTGCAGCAAGCAGTGGCGGAGTGCACCGCTCCCCGGCCTCGCCCCCGGCCGTCCTGATCTCCCCACCGCCTCGCGCCCAGCACCCCCCCAGCTGGGATCCTCGCACCGCCTTCCTCCGCTGCCGCAGGGTGGACGGCGACGGGGTGCTTGCCGGCGAAGGCGCGGCGCTGGCTGCGGGCGTGACCGCCCTGGCGCGGGTGGGTGAGGATGCGGCGGCGGCGGGCGCCGACCCGCCCACGCTCGACCCTGTGGCCGACCTCAAGCTCAACTCGATAGGTGGGCTAGGCTGGGCTGGGCTGGGCTGGGCTGGGCTGGGCTGCACTGGGTTGCCTTGGGCTGCATGCCAGGCAGCGCAGGGGGGACAGCTTGCGCAGGCGCCCTTGTGCACACACGCACACACACCTGCACCTGCTGGCACACCCGCGCGCCTGCGCCTGCCGGCACCCCACCCGGTGCCCGCCCGCCCTCAACCCCCACCCGCCACCCGCCACCCGCCTACCGCAGACCTGGTGGGCGACCTGCGGCTGCGGGCGCAGCTGGCGGCGCAGCAGGCGGCCATGCGGTGCCACAGGTGCTTGGGGGGCGGCTACTGCATGTGGATGTGGCGGTGGCGGGGCAGGCACCCCGCCGGCCCCTGCGGCCTGCTGGCGTGGCACCGTCATCCCACCCTAGCGCCCACAGCCTTGCCTGCTGCCCGCACACTCCTGTCCCATGCTCCACCCGCTACACCCCACGCCCAGAAACCCCCGCTTGCCCCCGCCCCACCCCACCCCCCCAGGGACCCGCTGCTCCCCGAGATGCTGGCCATCGCCCGCTCCGAGCGCCTGCTGGCGGCGCGGCTGGGCGGGGTGGCACGCCAGATGAGCAACGCCAGCCTGGCGCAGCTGCCGGAGTATCACCAGCGGGTGAAGGTGCGTGTGTGTGGTGCGGCGGGCGGGGCACTGCTCCTGGGTGGGTGCCGGCGGGGCATGGCGAGGGTGCACAGATCGAGCTCCGCCTGCATCCGCCGGCCCTCCCCTCGCCCCATCCCGATCCGCACCTGCCCTCCCTGCCCTCCGGCCCGCTCGCCGCCCCTGGCTGGCCCCCTGCAGGTACTGCAGCGGCTGGGATACCTGGAGCGGGACCAGGCGGTGACGATGAAGGGGCGGGTGGCGTGCGAGGTCAACTCGGGTGCGCTTGCGCTGGCTGCAGGCTGCGGGGCGGGGGTGTCCGCGCATGCCTCCCTCGCCCCCCTGCCTTGCCTTGCCTCCTCCTGTCCCGGGCCACCTCACCTCACCCTCACAACCGCTGCACCCCTCGACCCTCCCACTTCACTCTCCCACTTCACTCTCCCACCACACACGTACACACACACACTCTCTGCAGGCGACGAGCTGGTTGCCACCGAGATCATCTTCAGCGGCCTGCTGGCCGAGCTGGAGGCGGAGGAGGCGGTGGCGCTGCTGTCGGCGCTTGTGTTCCAGGCGCGAACGGGGGGGGGCCCGGCGCGGCGAGCGCATCGCCCTTGCCGTGCTGTGCTGCATTGTTGTTGCTGTGCCGTGCTGTGTCGCACTCCTCAGCCCTGGACCCACCCCCCATCCACCTACCACCACCACGCGCAGGAGAAGACGGCCGGCGAGCCCGAGCTGACGCCCCGGCTGGAGGCGGCGCGGCTGGATGCCGTCAGCCTGGCGCTGCGGGCGGGCCTGGTGCAGCAGGAGTGCGGGCTGCAGCTGACGCCCGAGGAGTTTGCCTCCTCCACCCTCAAGTGGGGGCTGGCAGAGGTGCGCCGCAGGGGGCGGCTGGCTGGGTGGCGCGTGGGCATGCACGGGTGGTGGCCGGGGTGTGTCACCCTCATGTGTTGTGTGGGGATCGGTTGCTGCCGGTGGCAATGGCAGTGCCATCCCTCCTGTGCACCCCAATCTCCCCGTCCCACCCTCCCCACACCACGCTCCCGCGCCCCCGCAGGTGGTGTATGAGTGGGCGCGGGGCACCCCCTTCCAGCAGATCTGCGGGCTGACAGATGTGATGGAGGGGTCGATTGTGAGGGCCATGGTGCGCCTGGACGAGACGTGCAGGTGGGTGGGCGTGGGGCTGGGTGGGGTGGGGTGGGTGGCACGGCACGCCACCGAGCAGAGGCAGGCAGCCGCGGGATGGT